TGCTGAACCACCTTTTAGAAAAGGCACTGGGAAAAAAGCAGGACAACCTCCAACCTCTCCAAAAAACAACCCAAATCAACAACAACAAAACAAACAACAACTAAGAAAAAACCCAAACTCAACTCCAAACTGAAAACTGTTATTTTATCTTTTCAGCACAGAGCTGCTGTTAAGATGTACATGAATATTACAAATACATTCTCCTTCTGGATTTTTCCTTCTTAAAAAGAAAAATGTATTTACAGAATATGTCAACAGACATTAAACTTTAATAAATTTACTGCTGTCAAGCCCTAGAACCATGTGTAGACCAGCATATACCCCATCTTCTAGCTCAAAAGTTCACCAACTAACACAGTTTGAAGGCTGCTGCATGGAAATTATGGCTTTACAGAGCTAAACTTTGAGAATGGGGGGTACTTCAAGATCAAATGCAAACCACTTCTCTTGCATACTCATCCTACACAATTTGATGCCTGCACTGTAAACTCCAGGCTTCCACTGGTCACAGCTCAAAGCTCTTACAGAGCTGATGTAAAAACCAGCTGTGCTCCCTCCTATCAGCTTCTCAAAAGAGCAGCAGAAGAGAAGGGTCCTTACAGAAGACCTTATAGTGGCCTTCCAGTACCTGAAGGGGGCTACGGGAAAGCCGGGGCGGACTGTTTACGGGGACATATAGCGACAGGACAAGGGGTGATGGTTTTAAAGTAGAGCAGGGGAGACTTAGATTAGACATTAGGAAGAAGTTCTTTACTGTGAGGGTGGTGTAACACTGGCACAGGTTACCCAGAAAGGTCATGGAGACTTCATCCCTGGAGGCATTCAAGGTCAGGCTGGATGGGGCTCTGAGCAACCCGATTTAGTTAAAGATGTCCCTGCTCACTGCAGGGGGGTTGGACTAGGTGACCTTTAAAGGTCCCTTCCAGCCCAACACATTCTATAATTCTGTTGGCGGGACATCAAAGCTGTACATCAACTCACCGGCTGGTTTAAGACAGGTCTGACAGAGCTGATAACCTGAAATAATGCTGCAAATTTTTCCACTAGCAGAAACATTAATTTGGGTCATTTTCCCCTTACCAATAAAACTTGTAAGAATTTGATATCCTTGAGGCTGACATCACTTCAGCCAATATGGATCAACAAACTCTAAAGTTAGGAAGTAGGAATGAACAAGGTAGAGCATATAGCTTTCAGAAAAATGTGTTATTCTAAAAAAAAACCCATACAAGTGGAAGAAAATGAAAGAGCTAAAAGTAATGCAGGATTTAGTAATTTTTAACAGGAGTAAACAGAAAAACATTATAAAAGAGGGATAAATAAGCATTAGGACTAGAATACAAAGAGAAACTTCTGGCATTTTAAAAGAAGCATTAAGAATTGTGTATCTAGAAAAGAAATGAAAAGTTGATCAGGAGACTGAAGGATAATAATCAAGTGAAATAATTACATTAAATACAGATCAGTAGGGTCAGATGATATATAGAGATTTTTTTTAATCAGGAACTACCACAGGTCAAGCAGATTAAAGTGATCAAACTTTGGCAAAAGATGAAATGCAGACTCAGACCTGTGCAAAGCATCAGGATAAACAGCTATGGAACAGAGTAGCTCATGTGCATGCAGACTTCCCTCTCCCCAAACTGCTTGATTATTTTAAAGGGATTCACACAGGCCTACACACCTATAATTCCCAATAACTGGTCGCATCTTTTTGCTGTTGTATATTATTAATTTTCTTTTGTACATGTATTATGCCAAGCTGAAGCTTAATAAAGTTTTATTTTAAATGACTTCTTAGCCACCTCCCAAGCAGCAGCCATTTTCTTTTATTTGTTTTCTCTCATATATTATATTTTTTTTCTGTCAAGATGCCATTAAATGGACTGAAATGGTGCTATTAAGCACCAGGATCCTCAGTGGCCACCACAGACTAACACAGAGGGTGTTAATGGTTTCATTTGAAACAAAAAGCAACACGCTATGAATGTACAGCAATGTTGTGGGGTGCTGTCCTATGCCTACATGCTCATTGTGCACTTCCAGACTGGATCCTGCCTCAAGCCACTCTTGAGGCTGCCTGTACTCTGCCCTTACACCTCATGTCCCACACAGACCCATCCCCATCCCACTCTGCTTCACCGCCACCTCTCCAGCCAGCACTGCTGGGGAGCCAGACAAGTCCCGGGTCTTGCCTGGATTACAAGCAAGCATAGCTTTCCATCGTTTTGTCTCCTCAAAACAACTTGTTGCCAGTTAACAGGAAGTCAGTGCTGATTCAGTGCCGTAAGATTCCAAGACCAGCTCAAAGGGAAATATTGTGGAAATATTACGGAAATATTACCCCTAGTTTTAGAAAACAGGCAAGACTCCAAAGAAACAGACTCGACTAGACCTGGAATAAAACCTTTCAAAGAGAGAGAGATGGTACCTTCTTTCAAAATACATTAGAGCCCATCTCATTATTTACAATCTTTCCTATTCAGATCCTTATTTGACAACTATTTCAATTATATAGGCAAATTCT